AAAAAAAAAAAAAAGAAAAGAAATGAAATAAAACAAAATTTATTGTGGAATAGGAATAGCTCCTGAAAAATAGGAAGGGTCCCTCTTGGGTTGCCGGTGAGCCAACTTCTTTGAGATTTATTGCACAAAATTACAGGGTGTGTACAACATGGGTGAAATTATAATCAACTAATAAGATTACAAGTGGGGCCGGGGAGATGGCTCAGCAGGATAAGCGCTTGACCGGCAAACACAAGGATCTGAGTTCAATCCCCGGTTCCACCAAAAAAAAAAAAAAGATTACAAGTGTAGCCACTTAGCTATTTTTTTTGCGGAACCAGGGATTGAACTCATACCCTTGAGCTTGCCAGGGAAGCGCTTATTCCACTGAGCCATCTCCCCGCCCCCCCCTTTTTTTTAGCTAAATTTTTTTAAGTAGCAAAATTTATTTGAAAAAGTAAAAGTAATGCCTGGGCATGGGAGCACATGCCTGTAATCTCAGCACCCAGGAGGCTGAAGCAGAGGATCAATGGGAGCTCAAGACCAGCCTGGACTAAAAAGGAAGTTCAGGACCAGCCTGGGCTACAAAGGGAGCTCAAGGCCAGCCTGAACTGTACAGCAAGACTCTTGTCTTAAAAAAAAAAAACAAAAAAGTGAATAGTGAGGGAGAAAGTGGTCTTGAGGTACAGGTTTGGAGTGAGTAAAGGAGAGAAAAGATAAAAGAAAACCCTGCAAAAAGCAGGAGGAAAGCCATGATAGCATCTTAGCTAACATTGATCAGATAGTAGCAAGGACATATGGATGACATTGTTAATCTTGGTCAATAATCTATAATCTTAGTGGGTGGGAGAGGACGGCACACCCTAAGGAGACATCGGTCCACAGAGGCTTCTTTATATGGGAAATATAAATGGCTTATTTATATGGGAAATCCTAACCTCCTGTTATCCCTTATAGAAGCACGCAAACCTGAACACTGTGACTTTAATCTTCCTCAGATGCTGTAAAGCCCAACAATTTTAAGATCATAAATGAGGTTAAAAATTATTAAAATGTCTTTCAGTAAGGGGGCCCACCCACTAGATTGTGGCTATAGAGCTTAGACAAACTATGTCCTTAAGATAAAGAAAACATAAGAAAACTTTGGATGGGGTCCCCTTACTTGGAAAACAACTGAAACTACTGAGTTAGCCAAAAAGTTGTCCTTGGACCTCCCCTTGTTTAAATTCTTGTAAGGGACATACATTCCCGAATCCAAGGCCTCACTTTTGAAGGCCATAACAACAGGATGTCCCAGGTCACAGTGCCCCGATTTCTTAAAAATGTCTCCGGAACATGACAACCACAAGGTTAGACCCCCCAGCTACCCCCGGATTTACTCCATTTGGTCATCCGGTATCGTAATCCACCAATTATTGTAAAGGGCAACCTACACTAACCAATGCGATTTGCTTCTGTAACTTGCTTGCTCCCTCCCCATTTTGTGGTTCTTGCCTTTAAAAACTATGCCTACTACACGGAAGGCGCACTCTGTTCCTGCGTGTTCAGACCGCCCTACGTATATGTAGATAATAAAACTTTCCCTTTGTGATTTGCATGAGAGACCGACTCTTGGGGTCTTCCTTCGCGGCGACTCGACCCTTACAATGCAGGTCCAGCCAGTGCCTCCCTTGAGGGCCATCCCCGTCTGACTGCCTACTATTTGAGCTGCCTAGAACACTTCTGCTTGCTTTGTCTCTGGAAGGTCAACCACCCAGCTTGCACCTGGCCAGACTTTCCCCAACTACAGATGATCAGCCCAACTCTGATCAGCCTCTGGATCTGCCCAGGGAAGTGGCATTGGTACTCTTCCTGGTCTCCTGCCATCCAAGCAGTCTTCTGCCTGAGCAGGGACCCTGCAGGAAATCCTCAACACCTGAGCAGGCTCACAGCTGTGGCTACAGCAGCAAAAGAAAAGAAAATCACTCAGTGCGAAGGCCCTGGGGACAATCTCCAGTAGTAGAGGCAAAAAACACAAAAGCTTATATACTCTCATGTAATCTTTTACGAGAGATCTTGCCCCAGCCTGAAACCTAGATAACAAGGCTCTAGGCCTAGGAAGCTGAATTAAATTTTTTTTGGGTGGAAACAATGGAAAGCCTAGCCCTAGATAAACAAGCTTTCCTTGGAGACTGAACTCCTTTGAGTCCCTTTGAGTCTCTTTGCTGACCTTTCAGGGCTGCTTGCTGTCTGATAAAAGTTACTAGCCTTTCGGGACTGGGGCAGAGATTAAGTACTCTTGGGGGATCAGACGCTGTGTATGTTGTGGGTTCGTAATCAATATAGGAATCCAAGTAGCCAGTTAAGATTAGAAGACCTTTATTAGCTGAGTTCAGCGACGGTCAACATAGACCCGTTTCAGGGGCCAGGGAGATGGCTTAGTAGAATAAGCGCCTTTCTGGCAAGCTCAAGGGTATGAGTTCAATCCCCAGTTCTGCAAAAACAAAACATAGACCTGTTTCAGGGTCCAAGTTAGTGGCCCCGAGCAGAGAACATGAGGGGTATATAAAGGGAACAGAAACAAAAATATGTAACACACATCCTACTTGGCAAACAGATTTTTTTGCTATACACCTTTTTTTCTTCCTATGTATCTGGCTTTTTCTTCCTGCTACTGCTTCAGGTCAGCGGTTTTTTTGTTGTTGTTTTTTTTCAGAACCGAGGATTGAACTCAGGCCCTTGTGCTTGCCAGGCAAGGGCTTATTTTACTGAGCCATCTCCCCGGCCCCTAGGTCAGCGTTTTCTCAGTGTACAATTCCTCCTTGTGTTGCACGTAAGCCTGTTTTGCACCTCTGGGGTCCGCTACTGTTTATCATGGCAATACTTACGCTCAGAGTCTGGGTTTAGGCCTTCACTGTACCGAGTGGAGACAGGCACAGAACAGTACAACTTCAATGGAACCGGGGATTGAACGTAGGCCCTTGCGCTTGCCAGCAAAGTGCTTATTCTACTGAGCCATCTCACCAGCCCTCGGTACAACTTCAGACAAAGATCGGTGGTGATGAGGAGCCTCCTCCGGAGCAGAGCTGGATGTGCATCAGGTTTGCTGGCAGCAGCATGCTCTCCCTTGGTCTGTTTCTACCTGGTGACCTATGGCTTGGCACTATAAAAGCCTCTGTGCACCAAACACAGCATGCTCCAGGAGCTTTTCCACGTGAGGTGTATGTATCGAGTGTATCTCAACAAGCCCAAGAACCATTACTTTCCCTCCAAAATTGTAGCTGGGTGACACCCTACGCCCCTGATCCCTGGCCTCAGGAGCCTGAGGCAGG